TAATTGGTTTGGATGACAAATTAAATGAAGCATCAACCATTGAAACTGGTTACTAAATTTAGCAGCCAATTTCAAGTTTAGTTTGATTCATTGAAGCTGTTTAACTAAATGTTCAACACCCACATTGAAACATTTAATTTGGATGAGAAGAGAAAATGAATTCATCAGTTTTATTCACACCAAGAAGAAGGAAAAAAATGAAACTTATTTGCTTCAACAATAGATCAATGTTAACCTTATTCATATGTAAATCAAAAGGAACCAAAGTGAAATTTGAATGATATTTTTTTCTGTTTAAAAAGCCTCAGGAATAAAGAGGAAACGAAAGATTAGTCAACGAAAATAAACATTTCTCAAAATTTCCTTGAGCCATTCCATGGAAGAGAAGAATCTATTTCGAATCAAACTCATTCGATTATTATTTCAACAATAATTATCTCATTCTGATAAAGTCTCAATGGAAACATAAAACACTGGAATCATGTTAATCCAAAGGTCAGTAAAGGACGTTTCATGCTCAAGTATATTTTGATTGTTCTGAGTAAACATATTTCAATTATCATATTGGTTGCGTTGGAGTTTCATCAGATAATGTAAGTCTTTCAAGATGTTGGGCTGGGTAAAGATTTTTTGCAAGTTTTGCAGATTCCATTTTGGTTAATTGAAAATGCATTAATCGATAATATGATTGGATTCAAGGATTTTTCCCATTTCTCTACCTTTACCACATCTTTAGTATAAAAGTATAACATTTTTCACAGGCTTCTTCTAGGGAAAAATGAGAGTTGGAGTCATTATGGAAGACGCTTCCATTCAGATTAAGTCTTCCTTTGCATCCATTCAATTTTGTTAATTGTGACAATAGAGACAAGAATCGATATTGTGACCTCTTTCTGGTAGCTTGGATCCAAGACTGTGTTGAGAGGATTTGATTCAGACTCAAGCAATAATAAGTTATCACTGAAGGTTAATCACAAATTGGCCGCTAAGAATTGAAATCGATCTAATTTCATCTTCATTTTTGTCGATTCTAACATTCAACTTAAAAATGGATATCCAAGTCAATTCATTCCCTTCTTGCTTCTGTTTTTACAATTCTTCTTGTTAGCTACATTCAAGTTAACTTGATATCGTTTTAGACTTCGAGACTTTGATTTTCTCTTTTCACCATTTCAAAGGTTCGTTCGTCAAATTGGCATTTACTGTGTTCGGCAAATAGCACAAACTTGACAGTCTTTTGCAGTTGAAAAGTAAATTAAAATAAGGTAAAGATAAATGGAAGAGTCTAATTTGAGAATCGACTTTACAATAATTTAATTTGTTAAATGTCAATATTGTTTCTTTATGCACATTATCCTTGTACAACAGTTTAAACGATCGACTATTGTTCTGTACAAAAGATGAATTACAATGTAATTTACATTGCTTGCTTTATAAATGATTTCAATGATAATATAAAATTGATATGCAAAATAATAATGAATATTTTGCCTTCCATTGAAGTTGAAAGCTTGGGATAAAAGGTTGATGTTAAATAGGTAAAAATGATAGATGATTAAAAAATATAAATAATAAAGTTGAGCAAAAAGAAGCCACAAATTGTTCCATTAGCATAAATTGAATTTGAAAATAGAGTGAAAGCGAATCACTAAAACAGTTAATTTACAAGCGATGCAAAATCATTTCCTTTGGCTCATCATTTTTCCTGTCAACATTTCACAAAGTCTTGAATAAATATTTAGCTATCAATAACAAATGCAAGGCAAAATCACTTTAAGTGTGCAGTAAAAACAGTTGCAAACAAAATGCACCTGAATATTGGACAAAAATTGCTCATGTTCAGATTACAGTCGAGTTAACATTGGACTGTTTTTCGGGTTTTGTTTACCTTCATTTTAGCTTGAAAGCTTTACAAGATGAGACAACCTCTTAATTGAGAGAATCACTTGAGAATCAAAAAAATTATTCAAGTTGATACACAAAACTATCTCACCAACCATTCATCATGCAACCTGAGGAACCTCAAGAAAAGCCACAAAAAAGTGACAAAAAGCGAACTCAATTCGAATATTTATTTTTCGAAATTCGAATGAATTTCAAGTTTTTAGGGAAATTTGAACGTTCCAATAGTTTTTGCGACTTCGATTTGATGAACAACAGATTTTGTGAAAGGTTGAACTTGATTTGGTTCACAGTTTTTTCAATTTTACTTCATTTGTCACTCAATGATAGTCTTATTGAGAGATTTGAAACAAAGCACGAAACTCGAATCAAGTTGAATCTTTAATCATTTTTGTCATCTCTTTTCATCACCATTATTGTACTCGTTTGCATTCCTTTGCATGGAAAAAACTTGAAACTTTTTGGTTGAAAATGATTCTTTTTAAGAGAAATGTTCTCTTTTTAATTTATACTTTTTTCCTTTTCCCTTTTTTGCCCTCGTCTGAGTCTGATTCAGTTTGGATGATGAATTCGGAGCAATTAAAAAGTGAGTGAAAAGAGAAATTAAAATCTAGGTTGGAAGAGGGAATAACTCATGGAATGAGAAATAACTAACTTTTTGTATTTTTCTTGTTCACCAAAGTAATTAATAATTTTAATTGAACTTCAATTTCACACTCAGGTTAAAAGGTACAAATTGAACAAGATTATTGTTTCAATTTTACTGTTGGTCAACTCTGAAAAATAATAAATTATTAGAGCATTCAAAAACCTTTTAGCCTAAATATGATCGAATCATTTTAGATCATTTTTTATTTCGAATAATTGCTTCTAGTGGGTATTCAGCGCTGTTATAGAGTCGATAAAGCTTGAATTGCAAATTTGTAACAAATTCAGGCCATCCTGCAAAATATGTCGATTTTCGGCTATAAATCACTGAATGGCCTCATTATGTCGTTCTATGTGATGTTATTCTAGATTTTTGCGATGAATATAGTCATTCAGGGTAAGATCTAATAGAAATGACGGGTGTTGGATGTGAGCCCATCCTAAATCGCTAATTAATCGATTTCATAAACTCGCGTCATTTTGATCGAAATTCAAAACATGAAAGATGAATGTCAAAGCAAGTTTTATGGTTCCCATACGATTTTTTAGCGCAAAAAAATAGTAACAGCGTATAATGCGAACCTTGCAGTATGCTCTGGAGCGAGAATGGTTTGCTTAGAATGAACAGTTTTTTTGCTAGCGGCCACCGAAACTAAAATATCAATTTCTAGAGGTCTGCCGCCTTTTAATGGGTTTTGGCTTTTGTAAGAACCCAAATCAACCTGATGAGATCGATATTGTAAAGTTGAATCTTCAAGGAACTGATATTGACATACTTTTTTGATTAATTCTACGGTAGTCTTGAATGGCGAGCCACGATCAAACAGATTTTTCATTCGTTATTTTTTATCGTCGTTCGCTATGTTGACTTTGGACTATAACTATGGAACGTATCAATTGATTTCAACCAAAACTTACTGTGTTTGCCTTCATCATAAATTAAACTGATTGCATGTGTTATCATTTGTCGAAATGTTTCAGAACTATATTAGGCTAAAAGGTTTTTGAATGCTCTAATATTTTAACCCCAAAAAGGCAAGATTCAAAATTGAAAATCGAGTCAAAAGAAAACTAAACTTTGAGTTCGATTCATTAGGTACTAAATGGTCCTAAACTGAAAGGCCTTCTTCAGCTGACATTAACAGCATAAATGAAAGAAACTGGAAGATGAGTAATATTCAGAAGTTCAAGTTAACACTTTCAGAGTTATTCAAATAATCTCTTAACACATTCACATTATGCATTTTCTTTGCTGAACTTGATTCAGATCAGAAATTTATTCTTGTCACAAACTGGATAAAATCCAATGGATGGACTTTCATATCCATTGATCAGGCAAGTCAGTCAGTTTTAATTGTTTAATCAATTCAGATGTGACGTTAACTATGATTCGTCTTTGACTAAAAATCAAATGCTGGAGCAATTTTCCAGTTTGTTTCGAGACCACTTTGAAGATTTCGAAGATTTAGTTTAAAGCAAATTTGGGAATATCATTGAGTAAAGTTATCGACCCTTCGATAGTCAGAATATGAAAAGATCTGTTTATATTCTGTACATTGTTTTGATGATAACGTTTGTCAATTTGATTGTGATGCCTCTCGTCGTCTTAAATGAGTGAATGTCTATTTTCAACTTGAAGCTACTTTTAATTCAAAAAGATGCCAAAATTAGGTATAATTTTGTGTACAAATTGCTTTTGATGATTGAACTACTTATCAAAATTCAGTGAATAATGAATATTGTCATTGAGTCAGTAATAAATTTATGAATTTTGTTAAATTGCGTGATGAAAATATAAACTCGTTAATAATTGAAGTAAAAGTTGCCTAAAATCTTGGAGAAAATACAAATTTCATTGGATTTTTGCTTGTTCTTCCTTTTTTCATCCCAATTCACCATGAAAACAAGAGACTATTTTCACTCTTTCAAGACTTTAATCTTGAACTTTAAC